AACTATGCCCAAAGCCGCTTTTTTTCATTGCTACGTTTCCCATTGATAAGGAATTCATCCTTAGAGTCTAGAATTAAAATACTTATGGTTTCAGAGAAGTTTTCTCTCGTGAACGCCTAGATTGTGGAATGAGCTCCTAGCCGAGTTTTTCTTTAGAGACTACAGTATGGGGTTATTCAGAAAGGGTATATTAAGATTTCTTCAGGGCCGCTAACGCTCAAATGGCCTGTCTGATGTTCTAGGCGTTCATAGGAAACAGTGAGTATTTACTATCAAACAGGATGTCTGATTATTTGGTATAAAAAAGCATGGAAGTAAGCTCTATCAATTGCAAAAATATATGACCCTCTTTGGAATCCACAGCGGTTACTTCTTGGTGAATTCGTCGATGGTCTGATTGATATGGATATATATAATTTATATGCATTAATTACATCAGATAAAAAAAGATAAAATATTATAAGTAACATACTTAAATATAAATACATAAGAAGGACACATATAACACATAAATATTACTCATAATATATATATTTACAACACAGGGGGCAAACGAGCATGCGGCTCACCTGATGGTAAGTGACTACCGCCGCACATGATCAACCAAAACATCAACGGTATTGCAGGTGTGCTGCCGGCCTTTTAAAAAGGAATACGCTCTTATCTTGAAGGCTGTGTTGTCGTATCGGTTTGGAAATACTGCTGTTGGAAATTGATTCCAAAGAGTGGTTGTGCGTGGAAGAAAGTGCCTTGAAAAACGCACGGTGGAGGACCGCCACACGTCCAGATGATTGGGATGAAACTTTAGTTTGTGGCGGGTTGTACGATGGTGAAAATCAGCAGCAGGTATAAATTCGAACAATTCCTCAGAGCACTCCCCATAATAAATTCGGTAGAAGATTATGCGATATAGTAACTATTGAGTAACTTAAAAAGTCTTTTTGTAAAAATATCGATAATTGTCGATCTCAACTCTACGACCAGTCGATAATCTAGCCGAAATCGATGATCCAACACCTGTTAAGGGCACTCGAACCACTCCCGTTGACTTATTCGCTCGAAGCACTTAGTGCTGCATTGAGCGAAGCTCCTACGGTGGGGTTTTGTTTGTACTAAGATTTTGTGTTTGACTCACAATTTGCACAGTAAGCAATCTCTGTTTACGAGTATATTCTATTCTACGTATGTATTTTTTTTTTGTTGTATGCAAAGCCGGAAGTGATTTAAATAAAAACTAATAATAATGTCTCTCTAAAACTAGAACTCCCATTCGTGTTCCTGCCGTGAAGCAGTTATGTCTACTTGGGTGTGTTTCGATTTGAAGGGTGGGATATTTCAGTGAAATTACAGGGTACAGAGTAATAACAACTGAGTCCTCAGGTATGGCAACGCACGGGGGCTATCATGGGGAAAAAACTTTGTTATGATTATGGTATATTCTGTTATGTCATCGTGGTAGCTTGTTTGCCATTCTAAGTAATAATAATAATATAATATTAATATAAGCCTTTATTCAGACATTTTTTTTTCTAATTATTTATTTAGGCGACGGTTACAGCTTTCCATCATGGTGGTCTTCCTCTTCTCCTTTTTTTTGCCGTACCAAAACATTATCTTTTTGTCATTCTAAGTAGCATAAAAAAAAAGAGTAACATGCTATATATTATTTTCTATTGACCCGTGCGGTGTCGGAGCGGGTTACTAGTTATTAAAAAAAATATCTAAAAAGCCAATAAACAATACGTCGTGTTGCACCGAATTTGAAATATTGATTTTGTTTGATTATGTAAAACGAGCGACACAATCAGTCACTCGCAAACTTCTATGAATAGAACTGGGATTTGGGGTCTCGGAATATTACAATCAAATCTACGGGTTTTCGTCTCACTTCCCTATCTTCGACTACTGACTATACAGTTACAATGTAGAACTAAAATGTGACTTTCCACTTGTATTATTGCGAAACTTGACTTAAGTGAGAATCTAAGTCAATCTGGTTAAGTATATTTCCATTTAACTCCGAAAAGGAGGGTGCAGATTTTATGCATCGTCGAATAGCAATTGATCTGACGAATAGCCAGTGATAATTGTTACCTGTAAATAATAGAAGAATTGTGATAAGATCAGAATATATTGTCATACCCATTGACACGATGGAAAAATAAAAGTATTTCAACCGTAAAGCAGTTGTGTTGGCATGGCTGTGTTTTGGTTAGAAGGGTGTGATATGGCGTGAATTTACAGGGAACAGAGGAATAACAACTGAGTCCTCAGGAATGGCACCGCATGGGGGGTATCATGAGCGAAACAGTATACTCTGTTATGTCCATGGTACTGGTTCCAGGCAACCTGTTAATTTAAAACAAAGTTAATTTAGCTGACTAAATTTTAACTCCTGTTCCTCTCGTGTATTTGACATCAGGCAAATAGGCAGGTATCGTTAGGATCTTTACACAATCTCGAGTGACACTGCCTATATATATATATTTTTAAAACAGTTCCTTTTTGGTTAAGGAGTCGTTTTTTTAATTTGCATAATTTAAGCAAGCAAAATGTAATCCAGTGCAGGAACCCTGAAAATGGTTAAAAACTAGCATACGTTATCCCCAGACAGAGGAGTTGATTATTTATGAGTTAGTGCAACTTTTTACTTAATACTTGCAGAGATATTACTTATACGTGCTCGTACTGTAAACTCAAAGGAATGGAATATCGCACGACACAATAGACTTGTATAAAGTCTTGGTAGGTTAATTTGGCTGCAAGAATATTATGGCGTCAAACAGACATTACTATGGTGGCAAACAAGCACGCGGCCTATCTGATGATAAACAAGCTGACCGTAGCCTATGGCCGTTTGTAACACCAGGGATGTCACGCGCGCGTTGCTGACCCTCAGTAAACCTTATTACGACCTTTTTGAAGAACCCCATGCTCAGGGTCTCTAGGGAAAACCTTGACAGGAAGGTCATTTCACAACTTGAGCGTTCGCGGCAGGAAGTTCTTCTGAAACTGCACTGTGCGTGACTATTATGTATATATATATATATATATATATATATATTAGTATAGAATATAATCGAATATTGTTGTAGTGTTTTTTAAAATCGTAATTTTTATAATTCAACTGTTGGGTTCGGAATGTTGTTATCTGCTGAGAAGAATACGCAAGAAACACTGACTTTTATTCTTTTTAAATCTCTGTTAACAATATGGGTTTGAAGGGTGGGATATGGCGTGAATTTACTGGGTACAGAGGAATAACACCTGAGTCCTCAGGAATGGCAACGCATAGGGGGTATCGTGGGCGAAACATTATACTCTGTTATGTCCATGGTACTGCTCATGTCTATAGGCGACGGTTACCACTTTCCATCAGGTGGGCCGTCAGTTTGTTTGCCATTCTAAGTTGTATAAAATAAAAGGAACGCAGTGTAAATGTTACAGATCGATGACCTTTAGTTTGTGAATCTCTCCAAGCGCTATAAAAATAATAGGTACTGTAATAAAAATAAGTTTTCTACGACTATTTCGTTGTATCAGAAGGCTGGAAACTCCAAATAATATCGTATAGTAAGTTTCTTGTGTGATAATACAATAGAAAGCTGATATTAGTTCCTTGTATGGAGAGAACGAGACATTAGTTTGATTTTTTTTTACTTTTTTTTTACTATTTAAAGTATCCTGCGATTGATCATAATCCCACTTGATGGAAAGGGATGATGTGGTCTAAGATAGGGCTTCGTGGGTCTACAAATAGTCTATTTACATTTGTCTTAATTTGGTGCAGATTATATTGTTTTTTTTTTTGATGAGTGAAAATGGTATGGTCACCCCGCCTGTACTAACGGGATACGCAGGCGGAGCACCAGTGAATGGTGATAGATGAGAATGAAAACAGGCCAGATAGCCCATCATGGTGAATTCATCAGGAATTAACCATGATAGTTTCCAGGGAGAACCGCGAGGAGGTCGACCTGGTTGGGTATATTGCTAGCAATGGGATTTTCAGTCTCCATTACTAATAATCCCTTTTCCCCCGATTATATTTAATTGGAAAAATATAAGCAGGGAGAGAGTTCCACTCCTTGGTCGTGCGCATGATGGAAGACGATGCAAAGCGCTTCGTACGTATAAATGGTATTTCTATGTTGAATGGAATCCATGACAAAATTAGTTTTTTTTTTATACAATTTGAAAATTTAAATAAGCTACCTACCTGATGGAAAGTGGTACCCGTCGCCTCTAGATATGAACAGCGCCTTGGATATTTCAAAATACATTATGATAGCTATCGCATAATACAAAAGAATAAAACTTCTGTTTTCTATCTCAAACATCATGTATTAATTAATATCTATGATCATTAACCTATTAATTTGCTTGAAGATGCCTTCTTTATAGTTAAACACGTGTCGCAAAATGTGCGTGGACTGAATGGCGATCGGAGATTGAAGACTAATATAAAAAGTTATAGAACTTCTGATAATAATAATAGTACTCTGTCTTCGAGAGTCGGGAGTCGCAGACGTATTAATGGTAGCGTAATTAAAATAATTCTAATCAACAAACTGGAATGAATGAATCTTAATTCTCTTCTAAGATGACTTTCTTCAAAGAAGATTATTAATCAGCGTTAATATAAACTTTGCTGCAAGTTACCAGTACCGATGTCAAGTAAGTAAATTCGTTTGTATAAAGTTTATAACTTGATTTACACAATCGTCTATTGCAAGAAGTTTTGATAAGCCGACAACCGTTGAATTTTCCGTGTACGCAATTAGTTGAGTATCGCCACCACGACGGTACTGAGGTCAATTTGTAAAAATCCACAGGTGTGCAGTGGTGAAGGGAATTAAATTTTGCCGATTTCGTATAGGCGCCTCGCTGTCTACCCCATTTGAGAGGAAAGCTGTTTGTTTTTGAACGGCCCGAAGTAGATAGACAATAGTATCGTCCTAGTGACCGAGTGTGAGCGATCGACCGCAGCGGCGCATGCGCGACGGCCGCGGCCGCCGCTAGTCGCGACTCGCGCCGCGCTCCCATCGCGCGTGTCCGCCGCCACGCATGCCACAAACCTTACACGACACCGACACTATACATCAACCGCTAATGCGATTTGTTTACAATATCCCCATCACGTGGTCACCCCAATGATGGCGGAACGGGCGGACACCTGACTGCCGCATACCACACTCCAGACACCAACGCTCCAGGTACGTCATTTTCGGCTATTTTCGGTTTTACACCCCTATACACAATGTAATAATGGCTCTCGGAGCGCACAGTTGCCACGAAATGCTAATTTCCCCATGAAAACACCAGTGTACCTATACGTTAAAGATTATAAACCACTACATTTTAAATCTAACCTGTAACGATGTCCTAGAAACACTAATCGAATACGTTTGACGTGTTGTTTCAACACAATTCCTTGTATTTTCATTTTCCACATTGTAAAATCAATTCAGATACAACAGAAAAACTGTACAATTGTTGTAACAATTCAATAAACAACATTGTGATACGTGTTAATACATAAGCAGTGATAAATTTAATAATTTTCATAAATTAATTATAAAAAGAAAGACAGTAAATAAATGAATGAGTGGTGTTTCTAAAATTAATGTAACAGTGTTCGTGTTGTGGGTGATTGTAACAATTTTATCAGTTATCAAGTTGATCATGTCTTTTTATCTTTATTTACGCAATTACGGTACGAGCGAGTCTGGTGTTTATTTATTTATGTAGACACGTACCTGATGTTTGTATCGTATCCAAATTTTTTTTTTTAAAGGTATTAGGTAAAGTTGATAATTTATAAAGTTACTTTATCTGAGATATTTGCGATAACGTTAATGAGTGGTGTTAGGTGGTATTAAATTAATACTCGTGTGCTATAGCAATCGATGCTGGAGTTTCAAATGGTTATATTTTTAATTGAGTTTATTTAATTGAGTTGGAAAATTAAAGAGGATTCAATGTTATCATACATACGTGTTATTTAACTTAGATAATATAAAGAAGTATGGTTTTCTTAGAAATAACGATAGTCATATTTAGTATAAATTTTAACACTAACACGTTGAAATTTACATTAAAAATAGACTGTTTATTCTAACAAGAAGATATATCATTATGGTTTGTTTTTGATAATCAAAATATTTTTAGAAAAATTATTAATATGACATTGTAATAAAATGAATAAATACAGTTTTTAACTGACTTCAAAAAGTTACGAATTTAATTTTAGTGTTTTAGTGCGTGACGCGATTTTCGTTTATCCTTGAAAGATACTAATAACTTACTTTTTTTTTTTAAGCGAATAAGGTTTATTATTCATATTTTTTTTCTACTTTTTTTTTTAAGCAAACAAGGTTTATATTCATATTTTTTTTCTTTACTCTCTTTTATTTTTCTTTTTTTTTTTAAGTTGACGTATGAAGTCTTTTGTTTAACAAATATGTATACAATCGCGTTTAAACGGCTTGACGGATTTTATAGCATCCTCATGGAACATGTCTTAAATTAACATATAGAATGAATGACAGTTTTATGGCAACATACAACATAATAAATACATTAATCTCATTAAGTGCATTATAAAATTAGAAACTAAATCGTCAATGAAATTGTAACAGTTTGTATTTTTTTTGCTAGTTTCTATGTTTTGTTTTGATTCGATTATAGAGGAAAGTACAGATTAAATAAGTAACTAAATGAATTAGAGGTTTCGATTCTAAACAATATGAAATGTAAATGGACATTTTATTAAGATTTTTTTTTTTAATTTCCTGTAATGTGCCAAATTTGGACTTAAGCAACTATTAGAGCTTCACTGATGGATTTTTTTTTTGTTTAATCTATACATGTATAATAATATTGTATAAAGGAAAAATTTGATTTTTTGTTAACTACTTTACAAGAATAGTATCATAATAAATATTTATTGTGACCTGTAGATTATATAATTATTCGTAAGAAATTGTTAACGTCTTAAAGGAAAACACAGCTTACCCATACATAGGGCATGCAATACAATTAGCTACATAACTTTATTTTACAGTTTTACAATAAAGTCGTCATCAAAGTTGAAAATGGAATAAAACACGTCAATCGACAATAATAAATTGACACGTGGTCACAATTACAACATATTAATGATCATTATCATGTTATATATTAATTAAATTATTTATAATGTCAAAATAAAAAAAGAAGGTCAAGAAGCAAAGAATTCATTCAAATTGTAAGAAGCATTTTCAAGTAATAATTTGTTTGAATAACAATTTGAATTTAGTATTAGACAGCTCTTTTAGGTTATTTGGCAAATAATTAGAAACTGATTTAAAAACATCTTTTGTAATCTAGTAATAAATTACATATTACCGATTAAGAATGTAGTTTAAAAATACTTTTATTTATATAATAAACTATATTATTAGTGAGTAATATAACCTATATAAATGATTATCGAAAATTCCATCTACCCGTGCGAAGCCGGGCTGTATTACTAGTGGATGATAAAGGAGTGGTAACGAAAGAATATCAGATGAAGGGTTGACAAAAGATCATAAACTTCGGATTCAGCGGAAAAGCATGAGACGAGTTAAGAAAGTTCTAGAAGCAAGAGACGCGTGTAAAGATGTCATTCTCTGATTAGTTAAGGAGAAAAGGGTAAAAAGAAATAATAATGATTGGAGGTAAATAAATAGAATAAATATAATAATGTCGTAATAGTCTACAAAGCGACCTAATGGTAGAGGGATGGGCAGCAGCATCTTTCTTAAAACATCTCTAAAAGCCTAACTGCGGTTGCCAACCCGCCTGCTACGTGTGGGAAAGGTTTGTGTCCAGCAGTGGACAGTTAACGGCTGAAATGTAAAATAAAGAATTAGTATGGCGGAGTAAAAAACAAGAAAACAACGCTAAAAAGGGATTATACAATAAATTTAAAAATCAACTCACGTGTTTGTCTGTACGTCTGTTACAGCTAACTTGCTTCGAAACTATAGACCGACAGAGTAGAAATTTGTTACATATATATAAGTAGGTAGACGTTAAGACAGACGTGTAACGTAAATAAATACATTTTAAATATGGGACCAGTTTTGGGGGTAAAATTAGAAAATAAAAAAAAAAATTGGAAACTATGTATATCGTGTGAAATATCAAATGGAAGGACTTTTTTTTTAAGAATTTAAAATATATATTTAATTTATAGTTTAAAAATAAATATTACTAAAGTTATTTAAGAAAATGAACGATAATTGACCATTAAACAGACTAATTGAAACTATAGGGTTTTACATTTTGGAAAAAAGTACAATGGTTATAGATTACAGGAAAATCTATACGAAGTTTATGCAGTTGTAATAGTTTTATTCATCATTTCAGCCATGAACTGACCATAAGTCTTCCCCACGAGAGGAGTTTTGCCAGTAGTTGCCATGCTTGGCTTTCGGATTGGCAATCGTAATTGGGCTTTTAGAGATGTTTTGAGAAGGACGTTGCTGCCCATCCCTCGACAATTAAAGTTCCCTTAGTCGCCTCTTACGACACCCACGGGAAAGGAAAAGGTGACCCATTCTATGCTGTGATTTCATGGTGAAAAGCAGTAGTATTGCTATAACCAATTAGCTTCGAATATACTAGATAATCAACGAAACCTGTACATAAGTTTAACTTACACTTGTCCGGTTTTTTTTTTTTGGAAAACAGAAAAATTTACGTTTTACTAGCGATGTGTAATTTTAAAAATCACCACGTTAGAGGGCGCCAGTGTAATGTTTGTCTCATTAAGACACAACGACCTATGACACTCGGATGTCTCTGTCCACTCTCCAAGGGACTCGGTGTGCAGACAGAGAAAATTTTTATATCCAAATTTCTCAATTAAGGTATCAACCAGTGAGCAAGTATATATCTTAACGTCCACTTCTCTCTAGCCTTGAGTGGCTTCTAAAAATATATTACTAACAGATCAGCTGATTTTATACGGCAAGGTGAAAACTGTAGTATAAACACAGATACAGATATAAATAGATGGAGTTAATTATTTTGTGCTAAACTAATTTTTATTCACTATCGTAATAATTAAAAATTGTGTCGCATATAAAAAAAACTGACTTCAATTCTGATCAGGGTTCGCCGATATATGTATATCAGCGGATATATATCATGATATATATATATCAATAAATATCAATTAATTTTTTTCCTGTCTTCTGAATTAAAAATTTTGGAGATTAATATTTACCCTGGCAACACGTAGCGAAAAACTACAATTCAGAATAATTTAGATTGTTTTCCAAAATGGTAACCTCATAAAAATAATAATCTTATATATAAAATTCTTCGTTTTGTCAATTGTGTTTGTTAAAAAACTCCTAAACCGAAACTTTTGTTAGTTGTTACCGATTTTTATGAAATTTTGTGTGCATATTGGGTAGATCTGAGAATCGGCCAACAATTATTTTTCATACCCCTCAATGATAAGGGTGACCCTCCACAAAATTTTTTTTTTAATTTTATAAAAAAAAATTCCATTTTTATTTTATTATGATTTAGCATTGAAAAATACACACAACTTTAATAAGCAAATTTTTTCATTGTTTTACGATCAACAATAGAGATGTCTTTTAATCGCGATTTTTATATTTCGCAATAAATGGTAAAACAACGTTTACGGGGTCAGCTAGTAATATTATAATAATAGGTACTTGTTCTTTTAATTGTTCATTAAAAATATTTTTTAAATGATTACTAAGTAATTATTTTGTTACTTGTTAAAAGTTTTTTTAAATAATAAATGTAGTAATAATTTGATACTTATTTTACAAATTCCTTTCATATTTTTAAGCGTGTAGTTCCCTTACAAAATGAAATTCGCTTCTTTTTCTTAGCCGATATATATATCGGAATATATATATATATATATATATATATATATATATATATATATATATGTGTAAATCGATTTTGACATAATTTCTACAGGACCAATCTGTAAGTATATCCTATCAGATAAAAAATTTCCAAATCGATTTACAACTGATGGAGTTAATGGTAATAAACATAAAAAAGAAAAAAAAACGAATCTTTAATAAAAAAGAAACACGAACATTCCTTTTTAAGTCGGTTGATAAAAAGTAGCCTGCAGTATGCCCATAGGCGGAACACTTTTTCAATAATCAATCAGAAATATTTAAAATTC